GTGCTGAGGCGGCCGCCGCTGCGGGGGTTGCTGCCGCCGAGCCGGGTTTGCTTGCCGAGGCCGGGCCGAGAGAGAAAGAGAGAGGAGAGAGAGAGAGACAGACGCGAGCGTTCGGTGCCTTCGCTCTAATTCACACACTCTCACACCCCCGAGGGCCGGGGGAGAGGAGTCCGGGCGCTACCGCTTTGGAGATTAATAACAAGGTGCAGAGAGTGCGAGGAGGAGGAGGAGGTTGATTGACGTGGAGGGGCTGGCGGGAGTCAGTCACTCCCCAGAGCCGAGGGGTGGGGTGACGGCGGGAAGGGGCGGGGCTAGGAGCCGCGCTGCGGGAGGTGCGCGTGCGCGCCGGGCGGCCTAGCCGCTGGCTGGCTGGCTTCCTTCCTAGCCCCCCGCCGGTGGTGTTTTGGAGAAAAAAAAAATCTCTCTGATTAGATTGAGCTGTGGAGACTTGTAGGACTATCAGAACCTCCGTGCTGACGGGTATGCGGGAAGACACACGGGGACTTGCGTGGCCTCCGCACTCATCCCCCGCGCAGCCCCACTGCAGAGCCCAGGGCGTTCTAGCTGGTTAAGGAGATAGCAGGTGAGGCGAATTGACCCGAGGAAATGTTTTCTCACGTCCTCAGTGGGTATCTTTCCTTTTTAACAGGTAGCGTGTCTAAGTTACGTGGCGGGAGGTGAATTTAAAACCCTCTGACGCTCTGCGATAACCCCGTCCTATTTTTAAAGCCTCCCTTCTCGCGATAAAATTGTATTTGGCAGTTTGCGGCAGTTACGGCATGAAAACATTTAAGGGTAAACTAGAAATATTATTGGTTGCCGCGTGAATGGAGCTTGCTATTTTAAGTTCGGAGGGATATGTTTTGCCACTTGAAGGTTTTTCCACCAACAGACCGAGAAGCCAGTTGCATTTGCTCTTCACACAGAACGCCGCCTTGGATTTACACTATCCGTCCCTGCCGCTGCGTGGCTCTGGGCTGGGTATTCGCCGAGGATGGTCCAGAGATGTTTACACCGTTCAACACATTTTATCCTCGAGAAATACGTTCTGTTTAGCCCACTAAGGCAACCGTATATGGTTGCAGTTTATATCAGGCCCCGTTGCTGAGTGTTTAAAGCCTTTATCGCTTTAAACACTCAGAAAAGGGATGTGATTAAAATGCAAATCATTTATGAAGAACTGAACTGCCCTTTCATCTTGTCACCAGGAAGTGTGAATGACTGAAAAAGCCCCTCTGGGCCAAAAAGACCTACAAGCTACCTGTTGTTTTTCCATCCTTGTTCAGTTTCTCCTTCCCTGGCTAGAAACAGCCCCACCCGCCCACCCCCAAACACATACGTACTTTTTGTAAAAGGTGTTAAAATGGTCTTAATTCTGGAAGAAGTCTATTCAATCCCAACTATTTTAGTTGAGGCTGACAAAAATACTAACAATAATTAGTAATCTTTAGCTCTGTAAACAGCACAGTCAAACAAGTGATTTCAGGAGGCCAGGGCAGGCAGTCAGTGAACCTGCCTTCGTATACATTATTTGCCATCAAATTTCTTGACACATACCCGCAAAGTAGAACTACTATCAAATGTTGAGAAAGATAAATAAATCCTTCAAAATTTAAGTCAGATAAATGTGATACTTACATGTCTCGCCCGTCTTCAAACACCTCTAGATGGATTTCTAGCTCATACACATTAAGCAAACATACATGCCAGGCGTGTTATGGTCTCTCCTAGCCCTAGAGAGACAAACATGTATAGTACCTCACAGTCCTTGCAGGGGAAGCTGATACATAAACAGGAAGTTCTCAGAGAACGAGTCGAAAATGAAAGGTGACACAAATTATTGAACAATGCCTAGAAGGACAGATTGAAAGCACTGACATTTTTTTCCTCGGCCATCTGATACCCCCCATCACCATCAGCTGCTGTAGTGGAAATAGTACAGGGAGAAGAGAGAGGGCCATTGTGGATTTTTAAAAAGCACTAATAAATCTTGAGGCCCAGATTTACGTAGGTAAATGCTCGTTGCTGTTGTCTAAATTTAAGTAGCAAATATTTCACATCATTGGGGGCAAAGGGATTAATTAGAACATTAAGAATTTAGAGTGTAAGTGGTAAACGTTTTTATCAAAAGCTCCATTGGGAGGTGGGGGCTGGAGAGATGATTCAATGGTTAAGAGCACGAAATGCTCTTCCAGAGAACCTGTTTGATGCCCAGCACCTACGTGGAGGCTCACAACCATCTGTGACTCCTGTTCCAGGGGATCTGATATTCTCTTCAGACTCCCTTGGGCACCAGACACACAGACAAACATTGAGCAAAACAAGTACATGAATGTCAATAAATAATTCTTAAACCTTCAGTTGAATCCAGGTCACGTTCAGATAATCTCTACTCACAGAGGTATTTTCTGTGAGATAGCCTGTATATTGACTCTCTACAAATAAAAGCAAAGAGACTAGTTTGGACACACACCCCACCCTTGGCATGTTGAGAACTATACCCAGGGATTCAATTTACAAAGCCCAAAGCCTCCAGCATCCTTTTTTTTTTTTTTTTGGTCGGTTTTTTGAGACAGTCCTTCCTGTCCTGAAACTTGCTTTGTGGATCAGGCTGGCCACGAACTCACTGAGATCCACTTCCTCTGGCTTCTGAGTACACTAAAGGTGAACACCACCAACCCAGCATCGCTAACAAGTGCTTTATTACTGAGGACTAGTGAGCTACAATCCCTAGCTCTAGACGTTAGAACCCTGTAGGGAGTTTGTTGTTTGGTTTGAGAGACAATCTCCCTGCACTCCCCAGGCTATCCTTCAACTATCCTCCTCCCTCCTGAGCTAGCATTACAGCTTTCTACCACCGTGCTGGTTTCCCTGACCATTTTTTAAAAATCATTTTTATAGAACACAGATGGTGGTGCATGAGTATGAACTCAGAACTCAGCAGGCAGAGGCAGGAGGATTGCTGCAAGTTCAAGGCAAAGGGCCGGCAGCCTGGTCAATATTCTTGGCCTGCTATGACTACAGAGTGGGATCTGTACTGGGTTTGAAAACTTTTCATGTTTGTCAGATTTTACCTTTTTATTTAAAATTATAAATCAGAATAAAATAAGAGAAACCTCTGCCTTGGCGATTGGGAATGGAGCTGTAATAAACACAGGAGTACAGATCTATCTTTGGCATACTGAGTTTGTTGATGTTATCTCATTTGTTTCTAATTTGTATTTCCTTGATTACTACTCATACTGATGGGTAAACAAATTTTTTAGACTTAATCAGTACACAATGTATACATTTAAAGAAATGTATTCTGTAAATAAATACAATTATGTGTCAATTAAAAGTTTTTCCTTTTAAAGAGCTTTTGGAGCTGGAGATGTGGCTCAATCATTAAGCGCCCTGTCTGTACTTGTCCCTACAAGTCATATCCTGTATCTCAGGCTCCAGATCCAACACCCTCTTCTGGTTTCCAAGGTGGAGCGTGCATAGGTGCGCGCACACATACACACACACACTTAAATCTTAAAAACAAAAGGTAAAGGGGTAGTTTATCCAATTGAAGTTTCTTAAGAAAAATTTTTAGGCCAAATTGTCTTAATAGAAATTTTGTTTATATGATTGCAGAATTGGTTCATTCTTTCTCAATGAAGAAAGTACTTGTTCTGTGATTTGTTCCAAATTAGCATTTGAAACATTTTATCTGAATAAATCTTCCTATCCATGTTTTCATTGGTATCCTATTGCTATCAAATTCTGTTCAGCAACTTACTCAAAGCAAAGATTTCAGGGTTTTTTTTTTAAACAAAATTACTACTGTTTGACTAATTTTATTTTATTAGTTTTATTATCTTTATAGCAACAGTTCATAACTTTTAAGAAAATTCACATTTAGATTTATTTAAGATATAGTTAGTAAAATAGGGCTGGAGAGATGATTTGGTAGCTAAGAGTGCTTGATGCTCTTCAAGAGAACCTGTGTTCTGGTCCCAATATCTATGCTGGGCTTCTGACTCTAGCTCTAGGGGATCCAAAGACATTTCCTGGCCTCTAAGGGCACCTGCACACACACTGTAAACATACACAGAAATAAACACATATACATAAATGAATAAAAATAAATATTAAAATGTTAGTAAGGTAATTATATGTATTTTTACTCCATTTTTATGGATACAGAGTAACTTTAACTTGCTCTGAACTGTAGTCACGGACATATCACTTTGTCACACTCACTTGGCCCTAGTTTTGATTCCCAGAACCATAAATAAATAAGTAAATGGCTTTAACTCTGAAATAAGTATTGTGTTTGATGATAGTCCAGTCAGTAAAGTGCTTGCCTTGCAAGATAGAGGACTCAAGTTTGATCCTCCAGAACCTACCCAAAAAATGGGGGGTCTGGGTATGGTGGCACAAAGCAGGAGACAGAGGTGCCTGGAAGGTGTGCAGATCCCTGGGACTCACTGGCCAGTCAGTCTAGCGTATTTGGTGAGTTCCAAGCCAGTAAAATACTCTGACTCCAAAATATAAACACAAAACAAGCAAAGGAGAAGGAAACAGTGGTGAGAGCTTCAGGAACAACAGCTGAAGTTGTCTTCTGGCCTTCACCCACGAGCTTGTGCCCACTTGTGTATGAACATATCATATAAAATGGACACAAATATGTATTACTGTTTTTACTTTCCAGATCTCCTCACAGGACTTCCACTATATTTTAGTGAAGTGACAGTCAATATTTCCCTGAACTGCATTTTCTATGCTCTTGTCATCTACATCGCCCTCTCTCTTCCTTTCTTAATCTATTTTTTATATTTCTTTTTGGTGGTTTTGTTTTGGGTTTGATACTTGTTCACGTATATTCATTCCCTGCATGTACTGATGTGCACACGTCTGTGGTGCATGTATTTGGAAGCCCAAGGGCTACTTCACCCTTAGGTGTCATTTCTCAATGGTTGTGCACCTAATTGGTTTGTTTGGTGTTTTTGGACAGTTTGGTTTCTAGGATATTTTTGTCAGTGGTTGGGTTTTTTGACCTGGAGCTCACCAAGTAGACTAAGATAATAGTCTAGCAAGCCCTAATAATACACCTGTCTGACCTTTCCTGGTGCTCTGGGGTTACAAAAAATGCAAGACCACACCTGACTTATTTTTTTTCATCTATTGAAATTTTTTTTCTAATATAACATACCTGGTTATGATTTTCCCTTTTTCCTCTCCTCCCACTTCCTCCCCAATACCTGACATTTTTAATGTGGGTTCTGGGGGTTGTTGTTTGGAAATAGAAGTTAGTGTGGCCCAAGTTAGCTTTGAATTTGCTATGCAGTGAGGATGACCTTGAAGTTCCAATCATTCTGCTTCCAAGTGCTTTGATTATAGGACTGGGCCGGACCTCCATGCCTGGTTTTGTGGGTTCCTAAGGATCAAACTAAGAACTTTGTGTGTGCTAAGCAAACATTCTACCGAATTATAGCCCAAGCTCCTGGGGTTTGTTGTGTTGTTGTGTGCTGGTTTGCTTTTGAGCCAAGATCTCACATTATAGTGAATAATGGCCTGGGTATAGCCAGACTACCTTGGAAGCTGTGGCAATCC